ACTTTTTTGTAGCCCTGCAAATGTACATTTTATAGATAAAGCACTAAAGCTATATTTAGTTTAACGTGAACCTAACTAAGGTAAACATAGTTTTATCGTACAGCCAACTGTGCAGAAATAACAAGAATATATATAATAATTGCTTAGTTTAGCGTTAAGCCAACTGTGTAGAAATAACAAGAATATAAAAAATAATTGCTTAGTTTACCGTGAATCTAACTTAGTAGAAAAAAAAGAAACTTGATTTAGCGTGACAGTTTATACGTTATAGAATATATAAACTTAGTTTAGCGTGGCTCTAACTACGTTATAGAATATATAAACTTAGTTTAGCGTGGCTCTAACTATTTCATATTATATATGAACTTAGTTTAGCGTGACTCTAACTACGTTATAGAATATATAAACTTAGTTTAGCGTGGCTCTAACTACGTCATAGAATATATAAACTTAGTTTAACGTAGCTCTAACTACGTTATAGAATATATAAACTTAGTTTGGCATAGCTCTAACTACGTTATAGAATTTATAAACTTAGTTTAGCGTAGCTCTAACTACGTTATAGAATATATAAACTTAGTTTGGCGTAGCTCTAACAAAGTTATAGAATATATAAACTTAGTTTAGCGTGACTCTTACTACGTCATAGAATATATAAACTTAGTTTTACGTGGCTCTTACTACGTCATAGAATATATAAACTTAGTTTAGCGTGGCTCTAACTGCGTATAACCGCGTATAAGAGGTGATGAGTGATATTGCAAGAAAGTTGAAGCCTAACCTTCATGTTGGCTGTTAGAACAGATTAAAGTAGAGAGGAGAGGTTTTCATTTTAATCAGGCGGAGGAAAAAGTTTTGCAAACCCTGAGTTTTTAAATAACATGTTAGACTTCTCAATGTCACCTTGTGATATGGATAAAAACATCTGTTGCTTGATGAAAAGAATTTTATTTGATCAATTTATTTAGATTTTATATTCCAGGGTTAAACAGGCCAATTAGGATCCATCCTTACTCAGTACAGAGTTGAGAGTTAAGTATTGAACTCTACATATATCTTCTTTTCATAATAAAACTAATCCAGAGTTTATTTGAAATAAAAGTGAAATTAAACCTGTATCTCCATATTTCGCCTTGGTAACATATGTGTTTCAAATATTAGAAAATTGTTCTGTTCTAATAAAACCTATGTTTTAATTTATTTCATACTAGCTTGGGAACCCAGCTTTGCCTGTAAACTAAACTTTTTGTAAATTTCAAGACGTAGCTCATGAAATCAAGCAAGGATTTGGGTAAGCCATATATCCTATAGGGTTTAAAAGTAACATAATTCCAGATGCTTTGAGTAAGCTATTCTATAACCTTTATGAGCACAAGAGAATTTCGTCTATTCCACAAACTCTGATTTTCTAATCTCTTTTTTTATTCTATTCAATGACATAACCGTAGGTATTTTAGACTATAAATTTTGTTCAAAAAATCTATATTTTAAATATCACAGGTTTACACAATCAGGTTGCTAAGTTATAGAAGAGATTGCTGAACTACGAACCGACGGTTCAAATCCTGAATCTTTAACTTTAGAATCGGTGATTTAGGATTTGAATTCAGCGACCTCTCTCAATTTAATTCAATTCTGCCCCTGCCTTTCTCAATTTACCTACCTAATCTAGTGTTTGCCATGAAATGTCATAACACAAAATCAACGATGAGTAAAAAGTACCAAAATCAATGAATGCTAACTCGAAGGTTCAAGAAAAATATTCAGAATAAACAGAAGTAATCAATACTTTCAATTAAGAAAGAAAGAGGTAAAAAAGTATAATTTCTTTTTAGCTCCAGCTAAGGACGTTCATAAAAAAAATAGGACTTCAAAATGAACTTATACATTTTTTTAACTACACAGAAACTTGTAAACTTAATCTTAAAATTACTAATTCTGTTCACCCCCCCCCCCCAAAAAAAAAGAATCTGTTGAGGGGGGGGGGGGGAGTGTTTGCTGAAAATAATAATATATTCTTTTTCTTTTTAACAACTGTATTCAGTATTATAAGTCAACAATATTGTTTATGATTTGCGACAATTTTCTAATATTTCTAGACTTCGTATCTATCCTAGTTATAAGCTGCTTTTTGGATAATTTTGAAAACATTGACAAAAACTGCAATTAAGAACAAAAAATCTATAAAAGTATGGGAAAAAGTAAGAAAAAAACGACGATATATAACTTTTCATCGGATTAAAAAATGGCCAAAAGTGAGAATTATCGGCCAAAAATTCATGAAAATTTCCGTTATGAGAAAAAGTAAAAATAAAAAGTAAAATAAAATATTAATACAATTAGTAGAGAAGCATGAATGAATTATATATGATAAACTATATTAACTTTATTAACTATATATCAGGACATCAACCTTTCTTTTTCATTTTCCTAAACAAGAGGGAAAATGGCGTATTTGTATTTAAATACACCAACTTGACATTTCAAAATATAAAAAGATAGAAAGCATCTACGGATAAATTCAATAGAAAGTATTTGAGTAAAAGATGTTTTAAAAAAGTCCATAAATAAATTATGAGTTGATAAAATTTAAGAATCAGAAAATATTTCTAGTGCGCTAAAGAAAACTTATAAATTCGAGGTTCTGGCTAAAAGTCAGTTTACACCCGTATAAATCGCTATAGTTTCAGTAGAAGTAAATATTTCCATTTACTGATAGCACCGATTGAAGGATTCATAACTCTGATAGGATAATTAGATAGATAGAAAGATAGATATTACCGCCAAATTATTTCTATTTGTTCAGAATAGACAACAAACGCATGACTGAACCCTGATGGGATCAGGCGCTAATAGACGCGGCATACAGGAGTGAAATGAAAAAATTTCATATTTGCTATCTTATACCTTCTTGTCGGACTACAGGTTTTTAATATTTAAGTGCAGAACATCTTTTACGCTATGTTAGACGGAGTTTAAATATGAGATCAAAGTATGACATATATACATATACATATAATATTGCGATACATATATACATATACATAATATTGCGATACATATATACATATACATATAATATTGCAATAACACGCGAAATTACGTTTTGGGTGGCAATACCGAACTCACCCCATATATATACATATAATATTGCCGAAAACACGAGAAATTACGTTTTGGGTGGCAATACTAAAATAAGGCTAGAAAGAAGGGCGCGAAGCGCCTTGAATTTCTAGTTTTGAATAATGCTCCTCAGTAAGTGAAAGAAAGTGTTACGCCTAATTACGTGTAATTACGTGCAATGTAATAATGACTTGAAACCCCCGAAAGAAGGAAATAGGAAGGGGAAGAAAAAAACAAACATTTATATTAATAACAAGTAATAATACTATTATTAAAATACATATAATATTGCGAAAAAAACGAAAAATTACGTTTTGGGTGGTAATACCACACTCACTGTTTTAGTTAATTTTGCGTAAATTATATAAAAAATAAATGGTGTTTACGTGCAATTAAAGTATAAGACGATGAAGGCAATGTGAATAATATATCTCTATGTAATAAAAATAAACTTGCATTGCATTCGTAGGACAGGGAATCATAAATTATGGAAATAAACTTTTATATAAAAATATTCAACGAATAAAAAAAAAGTCTATATGATGGATGTGTCTGCCTACTTTTAATGGTCACTTTTACTAGACAGACACACAACACTGGCTGTGGTAATTGTTATTCAAGGTGTGGTAACTGTTATCTAGTTATGGTAATAGTAATTTAAATTCTAGTAACTCTTATTTTAGTTGTGGTAATGGTTATTTAAGTTGTTATTCTAGTTGTTAGGACAATTATTCAAGTTGTAGAAATTGTTATTTAAGCTGTGGTAACAGTTATTTTAGTTGTGATAACAGGCATTCTAAGTGTGGTAACAGATATTCTAGTTGTGGTGACAGTTATTTTAGTTTTGGTAACAGTTATTACAAGTGTGGTAAGAATTATTCTGGTTATGGAAAAAGTTATTCTAGTTGTGGAAAAAGTTATTCTAGTTGTGGTAACAGTTATTGTAGTTGCGGTTAAAGTTTTTCTAGTTGTGGTAACAGTTATTGTAGTTGCAGTGACAGTTATTCTAGTTGTGGAAACTTTTATTCTAGTTGTAGTGAGAGTTATTCTAGTTGTGGTAACAGTTATCCTAGTTGTGGAAACTGTTATTCCAGTTGTGATAAGAGTTATTCTAGTTGTGGTAACAGTTTTTCTAGTTGTGAAAACAGGTGTTCTAGTAGTGCAAAGAGCTGTGGTGAAAGTTGTTTTAGTTGCGGTAACAGTTATTATAGTTGTGGTAAGAATCATTCTAGCTGTCGAAAAAGTTATTCTAGCTGTGGTAACAATTATTCAAGTTGTGGAAAAAGTTATTATAATTGTGGTAACAGTTATTCTAGTTGTGTTGAAAGTTATTGTAGTTGCGGTGACAGTTATTCTAGTTGTGGTAAGAGTTATTCTAGTTGTGATTACATGTATTCTAGTTGTGGTAACAGTTATTCTACGTAGTTGTGGGAAAAGTTATTCTAGTTGTGGTAACAGTTATTCTAGTTGTGATAATAGGTATTCTAGTTGTGGTAAGAGTTATTCTAGTTGTCAAAAAAGTCATACTAGCTGTGGTAACAATTATTCGAGTTGTGGAAAAAATTATTCTGATTGTGGTAATAGTTATTCTAGTTGTGGTGACAGTCATTTTAGTTGTGGTCAGAATTATTATAGGTGCGGTAAAAAATATTATTGAAAAAGTAATTCTAGTTGTGGTAACAGTTATTCTAGTTGTGGTAAAAGTTATTCTAGTTATAGAGATAGTTATAATAGTAGAGATAAGAGTTATTCTAGTTGTGATAAATCAATGTATTAATCAATCAATGAATGAATCAGTCAATCAATCAATCCATCAAGTAATAAATAGATCAATCAATCGCTAAATTCATCTCTTCTTTGGCATAATCTGTGCTCACCTATAATGCCTGGAATAGAGATGATGGGGACCATGAATCCTTCCAACCAGAAACTGAACATAGCATACCAATCTTTCAAGTCATCTTCACTATCTGTTCCATTCGTTCCGTTCATTTTTTCTAAAATACAGGGTGTCCCGTTAAACATGACAGTTGAGCGACGACTTTACAATCGTCCTTTATATTTAGCTATATAATGATAAAGTATGTATCTATAAAAATAATAAACATCATCAATTTTATCAAATCATCCCAAATCCGTTTCAAAATTCGAGGATTGACTTTTTTATGATCTTGTGAACTCTGCAAACCCTGAAACTACAGATCATGGAAAAAAGTTGAAATTCATTTAGATTTGGTGCAGTACAGAACGTTTTCCTTTTTACCTAATTACAAATTTTACACATTGTCCAAAATGACCTTAGTGCGTACTGCATATATACGGTTTAAATTTTTTTTTAAATTCTACAAGATTTTATTTTCCACTAGATTGAATTTGTCTCTTCAAAGAATATTTTTTGACAGATTTTCCATTTATTTAATTTTTAATTTTTCTCACTAAAAGACCGGATTATAAAATTTACAAATAAATGTATTTTACTCAGTTTTTCTTTAATTTTTCTATTCTTTAAATATTCAAGGATTTTATTGTATTTCTTTCATTTTTTCATTCTTTAAAAGGATAAATGCTTATTAAAAATTAAACATACTTAAATATTACACATATTCCCAAAATTTAAATTCTTTAAATGCAGACACATCTAAATATTTCAATACGTATTTTTTATAAAAATTTAAATGAATGAAATAAAAACGAGAAATGTGAATAAAAATATTTCAAAGAAAAGGGCAAAGCGCGGAGAAAAAACTAGACGCTACGCTTGAAATACTAAATTGTGTTTACATAACCTTTAAAGTTAAAGAATTAGTGGAATGTTGTCATTTCCCGTTCCACTTCAAAATAAATTTTATTTAAATGTCTGAATACCTGGAAGTAATTAAAGCGTAGCCATGGGATAAATTTTGCTAATTTAATTAATATCCTAAATTTAATTCATACCTTATGATTTTTAAAGTGTTTTGACGCTTAATTGCTCATAACTTTAAAATACCCAAATATATTTGCCTCGAGCTCGTGAACCTTGCGCAAAGTGGTAATTTGGCTAATAGGCCGAGAAAGCTGAATTTTTATTTGAAATTCGCACTTAATATTCATATCAGAACATGCCAAACCAAACCAAGCAGACTCGTCAGTGTCAAATAGATTGTTCCCAACATTTACAGTGTTTTCTAGAACTGGACCAAGAAGAGAAAGACCGAACTGTAGAAATGGACCAAGAAGAGAAAGAACGGACTGCAGAACTGGACCAAGGATAGAAAGAAAGGACTGTAAAATTGGATTAAGATTAAGAACTGGACCAATAATAGAAAGAAATGACTTTAGAACAAGACCAGGCAAAGCAAGAGCGTACTCTGGAACTGGACCAAGAAGTGAAAGAACTGATTGTAAAATTGGACCATGAAGAGAAAAACCGAACTGCAGAATTGGACCAAGAGGAGTACGAACGGACCGTAAAACTGGAAAGAAAAGACAAACGAACTAAACCAAAAAGAAAGAAAGGACAAGAAACTAGACCAAGAAAAGAAAGAAATGACACGAGAACTAAAACATGAAGAGATGAACGGACTTAAGAACTGTACCAAGAAGAGAAAGAATGGGGTGAAGAACAGGAAAAAGAAAAGAAAGAAAGGGCAGGAGAAATAGACCAAGAATAGAAAGAAAAGACAGGAGAACTAGACCAAGAATAGAAAGAAAGGACAGGAGAACTAGACCAAGAATAGAAAGAAAGGACAGGAGAACTAGACCAAGAATAGAAATAAAGGACAGGAGAACTAGACCAAGAATAGAAAGAAAGGACAGGAGAACTAGATCATGAAGAGAAAGAATGGATTGAAGAACTGGACACAGAGAAGAAATAAAAAAACTCACGAATGGACTAAGAAAAAAAAGTTCTTTAGAAACATGGAATGAGAAGAGAAACTGGAGAAATTAAATAAGAAAAAAAGAGAAAGGACTGGAGAAATTGATTAAGAAGAGAGAGTAGGGACTAGAAACTTAACAAATAAAAGAAAAAAGGACTTGAGAACTGGACTAACGACAGAACGAAAGGACAAAAGAATGGACGAAGAAAAAAAGATCTTGAGAACAGAAACAAAAAGGTATAAAGACTGCATTGAGAACCAAAAAAAGAGAGTAATGAATACTGGAATAATAAAAAAGGTGAGTAGATAACAAGGAATTTGATTAAGCATAAATCTATCAAACAATGATTTTGTCATAAATTTTTTTTATAGGTTTATAAATATTGAAACCGATAATTAACTTTAAATTTGCCAAATTTAGCTAAAAATTAGCTTCGCTCGGTTAAAAATCAGGGTTTAGATTTTAACCTTTTTTAAAAACATTAACTCTAAAAGAATTTTCCTAAAGGTTTAAGATGCTGTTTTTATTTGTAATATTCTTGTGAACTAAAAAACTATCCTTTATTATATTGTCTGCAGATTTGAAAAGTCTCCAGGATAAGGTTAACTTTCACTCCGGAGAAGTGAGAGAGAAAACTGAGACGGGAGAATATCTATCCTCGAACCCATCCTCTCCTCTCTCTCTCTCTCCGAACATTAATCCCGAACCTCAAATACTCGAAAAACGGGATTTGAACTACAAAGTTTAAAGTTTAAAATAACTAAATCTTAAAATTACGATTGGTCAATCAGAGATTTTTCTTGAACCAAAAACAAGCAAATTGTGTATTAGGTTCAGAAGTTTAAATCGGGGAGGAAGGGATTACAATATATGATAAAAAAAGAAAAATCATAATTTTGTTTTGAAAATAAAACATTTGCGTATTTATATGCTCGGTGTCCGAATTTAATGAATTTGAGCCGCGTCTCAAATCCACCAAAAACCGGTTTCAATTAAAACATTGAAAACAATTTTACGTGGAACCAACCATATTTGAGCCGCGTCTCAATTTCTTTTAATTCGACCTCTGAAGAAGTATTTTGTTCAATATTAGCTTTTCCAATTTGGCATCAATAGATCACATTAATTACAGCTTTCAGAGTTAATTTAGACAACAACAGTATCTCCAGGAAAACTCAATTTAAACTTAGATTAAAAAAGAAGAAAAAATTTACATTATGAACGGTTTTGTTGTAAAGAGTGCTTTAATTTAGTTGAAACCTGTCTTTTCAACGAAATCCTTCCTGGTGAGATAAACTCGTTTATGCCAACAACGTTCTCTGAAAAAAGAAGTTTTTGAAAAGAAAGCAGCCTAAAGAAGTCAAAATAGAAAATAAAATCGACATCCGAAAAAGTCTCGGGAATCGAAATCCAGCTGACTTTGTTTCCAGTGACATTTTTCTTTAGTACTTTTTCCCAATTTCTAGTTTTTTCCAAAAACATTTCCCCTGGGAGTTCATAGCAATATTTGCAAAAAAGGAATTGAGTCTTTGCAACAAACTCAAATTTATCTAACCTGGGGCCAAATTTAAAGAATTTGAGTCTCGGCTCAAATATGGTTTGTTCTATTTGACATTGTATTTAATGTTTTAAGAGTTAAGCCGGCGCTCAATTGAAACCGGTTTTTGGCGGATTTGAGACCCGGATCAAATTCATTAAATTGTATAAACATTTAAAAGTTCAAACTTAGATTATTTAATTTAACAGAATCTAACATAATTTTTCGACATTGAGAAGCAATGATATAGTGATTGGAAAATCAGAGATTGTGACGAAGACGTAATTTCTTTGGCTTGTCTGTCTGTTTGTATCCAAAAAAACGTCAAAACGGCTGAAAATTTTTGTGTTGACTGGCATGACGGAGGGTTCAAATAAAAATTTGCTTAGAAAAAAATGTCCATTTATCAGAGAACATGTTTTATTTATTGGAGACTATTTCAGTCATTGTCTCATGTCTGATTAAAACTTTATAATTAATGAAAAGAAAAACATAGGAACAAGGAGTACCAAAATATAATTGGAAATTGGAATAGAACATAGAGAAACAAGGAGTACCACGATATAATTGGAAATTGGAATATAACATAGGAACAAGGAGTACCAAGATATAATTGGAAATTTGAATATAACATAGGAACAATCAGTACCAAGATATAATTGGAAATTTGAATATAACATAGGAACAAGGAGTACCAAGATATAATTGGAAATTGGAATATAACATAGGAACAAGGAGTACTGAGATATAAATGGAAATTGGAATATAACATAGGAACAAGGAGTACTGAGATATAAATGGAAATTGGAATATAACATAGGAACATATAATTGGAATATAACATAAGAACATATAATTGGAATATAACATAGGAACATATAATTGGAATATAACATAGAAACATATAATTGAAATATGACATATGAACATGGAGTACCGAGATATAATTGGAAATTGGAATAGAACAAAAAAATTGAGTTTTGCACACACGTCACTCTAATTTTTTAATCCCTCAATCTTTGCAACCCAATGTAGTAGACCTCCGATTTTTTAAACTATTAATTCTGTAAGATCAAATGATAGGAGTTTGAAATGTCTAAGATTTACACCATCAGGTTACAAAGATAAAGGGATAAAACAATTTGAGTTTCGTACTGACTCGACCAAATTCTGTATGTGCTTGGATAATCAAAATAAAGAGGATACAAAGCGTCCCAAATCATATAAGATTATCTCCAAGATTTAACGTTGCAATACGCACATTATATACTCGAAAAACCTGGTGTTTTCTAACGTTCAATTATTGGTATTTTATGCTTATAAAATTTGTTTAAATGGCTCATTCTTTGGAAATACTCTTATTAGTCCCTAAAATCGCAATTTTGAGCCATAAGCGATCCGAAATGATCAGAATGGGACACCCTGTTTTTAATATTTGATCTATATCTCGTCTCCCCAGCAAAGCTTTAGACTGCAAAAGTACCGCGTAGGGGAAATTTACTATTGCAAAAAGACCCCTGATCGTCCAAATTTAATGAATTTGAGCCGCGTCTCAAATCCGCCAAAAACCGGTTTTAATTGAGCGCCGGCTTAAA